ATTTTCCAGACAAGTACGCACACACACACACGCACATATATACGCGACTATGACAAAGCATTGAAAAGTTAGCAGGTGTGTAATGTTCTTGTCAGATAATATTCCTTGCTTTTTTTGTTGTTGTTGTTGTTGTTGTTTTTTTTTTTTTTTTTTGAAAAGACGAAAAAACTTTGAAAAAAAACTTAAGGGAAATGAACCTTTAGAAAATCATATGGTGGTCATCCAAGCACAAAGGTATTTATCTTCACCCTTAACCAAGTGTTATTTGTAACTTCAGCATTTGAAGAGTGATAGTAGTGCGCGTATGTGCATGTGATTCCTGCTTTTCTTATCACTATTCATAGTCCAACACATGCTCACTCATTGTTTTAAAATGAAATCATCATCATCATCACCTTCATCACAGCAGCTTAATGCTGATGTTGACATGTTCGCATGTTCGCATGTTTGTGATTTTCTGTATTTCATACTATTCGTGAAAGTACCCAAAAATTGCGTCTACACCTATAAGCAAACATCTCACTTCATCAATGCAAGAGTGCAGATAATAACCATAAGAGTCAACTAAGGATTCATTCGTTCATTTCATTACATCATACCCAGGCATACGCTTAAGTATAAGCATAAGCATAAGCATAAGCATTTTCCGATATTCAATTATAATGAAATTTGAGTTTCTAGGTTAGTAAGATGATGCATGCTTTGCCTTCAAACTTATCACAGCTTGACCGGGTACACAGGTAAAAAAAGTTTGCTCTGTTATGATGATGCAATGAAACAGTAAAAACCCATCAAGCACTGATAAAGTGGGAAATTGCTTTTTTTTTTTTATTATTATTTTATTTTTTTTTCTATCTGTTACTATCCTATGTTATTGTAGCATACAATTTCATCGTACATATTAAAAAAAAAAATAAAAAAAATAATAATAAATAAAAGAAATGGACTTTTAACGCATTCATATACGTAAGCCATTTATATAAAGTGTTGGTTTCAATGTGTGGTCAGGGTTCAACAACCTTTCGAGGTATTTACAGTTTTATAAGCCTAAATCTATAGAGAGCACTAGAGTTGTACAGCGTACACTTTATACTTTATGTAAGTAAGTAAGTGTTGGTGTTTTATTTTGTGACATTTATGACAGGCAGGCAAGCAGGCAGAGCCTAATGGGAACGACGCCAACTTTAAAGTTGAATGAATGAATGCTTTTCAAATATTATTATATTCTCAAAGTTGCTTAAAGTTTTGTTTTTGTGATTGTACGAGCATCGTACAAAGGATGTGTACATCGTCGTCAGCTTAGCGCGGAATCGAGGAGAGAGTGTGTATTAATTGCAAGGTATTTTTTGCGCAAAAATACTTTTCATTTTTAACCGATACTTCCAAAAGGACAACCAGTCTTTAAGTTCTATTTAAAAAGGATTTCAGAGTTCGATTTCGACCGCCAGTTGACAAAGGGTTAACCAAGGAACCTTTGCTAATTAGAAACAATGATGTGTATAAAGCAAAAGAGTTCAAAGAGTAAAAGAGAGTAACGTAAGTACTTTTAAGCGTTTGTTTCCCGAAACTGGCAGATATTTGTAGCGAATGGATCACGCCGTTGCAGCGTAACTAGGAGAAGATCTTAATTCCGAGGCAGCTCTCTCATGTGAAAATTTCTTAGTAAGAAAAATTGCACTTTATTGGATGAATTCTTTCCATTGACCGGGGAACACTGATACGGATGCCCTTCCATCGCTCTCTTTAATCTCATTTTATTCTTATGCCATTTTTCAGCTAAGTAGATATCCCAGAGTTGAAGGCTTCTAAATTTTTATGTAAGGGATTATTGAAAATTTGTTTTTATGATGATATAGTTGGTGGTCTCTCTGGTCTTTTCATCATCATGGATTAAACAGCGCAACCATGCTGTGGTATGCCTCTGAGCTAAATGTTTTCAAAGTTGAGTGGCATTGCCAAATGCAATGCAAGGACTGCTACGCTTAAATACAATATTATGTTATGTATGGTGTTGCTGTGACATTTTTTAAAATATTCGTTTCATTTGTATGAGTTATGGTCGATGAAGTCGTTTAACGATGATGTTCTGACACACGAAGCTCACAACGCATTTCATTATTTTGATCGCTACACATATGGTCAATGAGGTCTCAGGCATAGAGGCATTTATCGTCGGCAAAGGTCGGCATTCAACACAGTATTGTTCGAGTTAAATAACGAACGCTTTGTGCTATGAGATAACATGGCGTGTTCGAAGCTCAAAAACCCTACGTTGCTTATCGAGATTACATATAGCGCGACCTAAAACGAAAACAGTTGCAATCAGGCGATCTAATATTAGTTGTGCCCTCTGTTATTTATTGTCAATTAGGTATTTTTCATATTTTAAGAGGAAGTGTTCTTAATGTACTTCGTTGTTGAACTTGGACTCCTTTGCTTCGTCGATTGCCAAACTAAAATCCATTAAGCGCTTATAAATTCATGTTCAAGTTGTGTGAGACGATTTAGGGAGTCGCTCGAACTCATGCATGAATGAACTGCATCTCGTCTCTTCATTCTTAGTGATTTTTAGTGACTTTCAATTATTTATTAAAGCCTATTCTGCCTGTGGATGCAGGCTTCTGTAAGTCTCAAGTATTATATCATGGCCAGGGAAGAGGAATATTATGATCGTTTGCCTCTTAATCGCTATCATGTAATTCTTGTCCCCACCTCTAAATGTCAACCGCTGCTTAGTTATTTTGAATCTAAGTATCCCATAGACCTTGTTCTTGAGAGACGTGACAGTTTGGAAAACTAACGAGTATAACGGATCAGTATTCGGAAGTCATTACATCAACTTGGGGGATAAAGGATGTAGATAAGATAATATGCTAGCGATTCGTAATACAAGAATATGTAAGAGTAGACAGACACGAGGCGAACAGTGGATGGACTGAGAAGTTATCATGTAGATGAAACGATAGTCAGTTAGAGAGTCAAAAAAAATTAAGTCAAGCGCACAAGTGCGTTCATAAAACGATTAGTAGGTCGATAGGCAAGCAACTTTTTATGTATTTATATATTTATTAACTCATCAAATCAATACAAATACAAATTCTTATGAACTACAGTGTTTCCAGTTTATAAACAATTCGATTGGGCTAACAATTTATTTTTTAAATTGCATTGCTCACACCGGTAATAATTACTGTTATGTAATCTACATAGGGAATGCAATGGACTATAACGCAGATAGTTAATTGCGGCAATGAGAGTGTCTTACGGAAATATGATGTCGTGAGGACTTATTCAGAACGTTGAGATTGGCAAAGTTTAATACGCATGGTATGAAGAGAACCACAAATCACTTTAACCATAACAATCACACGAATCATGTCCTATCTTTTGAGCGGAGGCAGTAACAGTGTAAGGTGAAGACTATTTTCATGTAGCGGGCGACCTCTAGTGAGACCTTTAAGTTCTTCATATAAAGCAAGAAAAGAAGAAAAGTTTTTCCGAAACATACTTTATTTGATTAACATGACATTGATAGTAAGGTAACCAGAAAACAACAGAATATTCTCAAATTAGATGAACAAAAGCAGTGTAAAGTGTTTTACAGATATTCGGCTCGTAGTGAAACTTACGACAGACTTAGCTCGGTTACTAAGTAGATCGCAGCCAGTGTCATAAACGGACAGGTAGTTAGACGAATGGATAAACACGTAATAGGATGAAAAGTTCGGGTAAAGCAGCGGGAAGTAGATAGACATATAGATTAATAGATTAATGTGCAATTTAGAAATAGACTAAGCGACGACACACTGAGTCAAACAAAGATAGACTAACTGATGAATGAGCAGACGCTGGCGTGTCTGTTCGCTTTAGGTTATAATTACATGTTTGATTTTATTTCTATTCTTACATGTACAACAATCTCATAAAGTGTAAGGATTATATATATATATATATATATATATATATTGCAAGAACATAAGCACTAATAATTCAAACTTAGAAAAAAATTTCCATATAAAACAAAGTTCAGAAAAGGTCGTCAAACAAGCAGATTGTCGTGCAGGCGGGCAGACAGAGAGACAAATAGTCGGGTTACTGATGGACGGATAGACATATTGACTGAAAAGCAGATTAACATTATGGGAAAAAGATAGACCAGCAGATAGCTAAGCAACTTAGCATTGGCAAAAGAACAGAAAATTAGACAAGATGATAAAGATACGCATCTATGAAGGGACAAAAAGACGGACAACGATTGAAAATAGTGATAAAAAGCAAGTTCAACAAATACACGAGCGAATAGACATAGAACTAGGCATATATAGAAACAGAAGGAGGGACGGACTGGCAGACGAATCCACCAGCAGATCTGCGAACGACTCGCATTTAGTTAAACTGACATGCGATACGACGAACTGAGGCAAATATAAAACTTTAAACAGCCAGCGCCATAGCCAGAGCGAGAGCGTTTTAGAATCGTACAAACGCTGCTTTAAATTTCTGAAGCGTTTTATATAGAAAAAAAAAAAAAAAAAAAAAAAAAACGGAACAACAAAATTATTACCCACCCACTCATCTTGACAGTAGCTTGACCCTTTTTGAATGAACACTCAAATTCATAATTTAAAAAACTTCACTTTATTTGACCACCCAACGTCAACATGTCTACCCTCAAATGATTTAATGCTTCCAAAAAAAAAAAATCCCATTTCGTGGTTCAGTATACAAATTACATTGTGTTTAACACATTTGATTAATGACCGCTTGACTGATTACCTATTTCGTAACTAAATGTGTAAACAAATGCCTCATTACATTTTTGAATTTTTACTAACATTAATTTTCATTTTTAATTTCACATTAAAAACAACTTTATTAGCACCATTATCACAACTACCACAAAAAATCACCACAACCACCACAACACACAAAGTCGTCGTCACCATCTTCGACAGGCAAAAAAAGTGCATTTTCTTTTCTGTCTTTTTCTTTCTTTGCAGATACTTTAAAATTCATTGACAAATAAAGTCAAAGAAAAAAAAAAAAAAAAAACAGAAACGAAAAAAGTTGTGTACTCATGACCACAACAACAAATTCGAAGACACTGCAACTTTTCAATTATATAAAATAGTAAATATTTGACAACAACTAGCGACCGCCTCAACTATCGTTTAATAAGGTTGCGCTAAATAAAAATGTTCACAGTCACTACACTGAGCAGAAGTATCGTTTACTTAAGTCTTGTGTTATTTGTATTTCAACGATGGGTGACCAGCTTATCAACTGCGCCTCAGACATTGGCGGATAAAGATTTATTAAAAACAAATATTCCTTCGCGTTTAATCGAGACCGGAGATGTGGAACAAAGTGAAGAATCGGATGACGTTTATGGCAAACTCGATGATTTAAGCGATGAATTCGAGGGTTACGTAACACCACGCAATGATAATGGACAGGATTATGTCAACAATTGGGATGCACTGGCCGATGGCGATATTTCTTATCGGGACGCTGTTGGTGTCGGTAATATCGCTCCTGGTGGCAGTGTCGAAGGAGCAGGTGTTTTCATACGTGATAAATCTCATATGCCGGCATTTCACGAAAGCTCTGCCCATTCTTCGGCTGAAATTTTGACAGCAATAAACAATAATGGCAACAATAGTGACACCAATAAAAGTAAAATCAGCAGCGGCAGTAGTAGTAGTAGTAGTAGTAGCAGTAGTAGCAGTAGCAGTAGCAGCAGCAGTAGTACTATAATAATAGGAGGTGGTGGCACGTTGGATGAATTTGTTACCGGTAAATTGGGTGCCTCAGAAATGGGGGTAACGTTGCCGTATTTCCTAACCGAACCGGAAAGTGTATATGTGGTCAAAAATCGACCGGCTATTTTAAAGTGTAAAGCAGCTCATGCCTTGCAGGTAAGTAAATTTGTAACTGTAACTATAAATACACACATATAAATATAATGAATGCATTGCTACTGTTATTACTGTTGCTGTTATTTTTGTTGCTATTACAACCCAATTTCCGGTTATTTATGCAGCTGCATTTTAAATGCAGTGGCAGCTCGCAGCCGCCACCCTCAACGCACGATAAACACGTGGATCCGCACACGGGTGTCCATTTAGAAGAGGTCACCGCCACCATACATCGCGACTTGGTGGATGAATATTTCGGTAAGGGACCATTTAAATGCGAATGCCATGCCTGGTCGTCGAGGGGTGTCGTTAAAAGTCAAGCGGCTACAGTAAATATTGCTTGTAAGTGTACATATATTAAATTACATGCATAAACAAATGCATATATATACACTATATACATATATATATATATATATGAGCGTGTGTGTGAATGTAACGTTTGGTTCATTTTCCTTAGATATGCGCAAACAATTTGTTACCTCACCGACCTCGCTACGCGTTGAATTGGGCACAAGAGCCGAATTATTTTGCGAACCACCCAGCGGTTTTCCAGTACCTTCGGTAAATTGGTATAAGAATAATGTGCCCATAGCAGAAGTTAACGAGCACGGACCGACCATAACCCCTGCGGGTACATTAACATTTCGTCAAGTCACTCTACAGGTAAGTGTCGAGGAAATTTCATCCGTTTTTTTTTTTTGTTGTCAATTCGACTAAATTGCAAGTGTTTAGGATATGGCAAATTATACTTGTGTAGCTGAGAATATAGCGGGAAAACGTACGTCAGATTCTGCCGTACTTATAGTATATGGTAAGTTTTATTTTACCGAAGAATCCAACCCAGAGATTAAGGATGCAAGTTCATATTTCTCAGTTAATGGCGGTTGGAGTTCCTGGAGTCCTTGGCGCGAATGCAAATGTCTTGGCAAACCGTTTCAGGGTCGCAAACGTACTCGCTCTTGTACTAATCCTATACCCATAAATGGTGGTTCAGAGTGCATTGGCCCTCAAATACAAAAATCTCCTGATTGCTTAAGTTGTCCCGGTAAGTACACAGTTCTTAATACTCTTACCAAAGTTCTTGCAAAGAAAATGCCGAACAATTCTTTATAGATGAAACTCAAATCGTCAGCGCTGAGGGTTACGACATGCCAGCCATGAAAAGAAGTAAGTTTTATAGCATTTATAAAAACCGAAAACACATAAAATTCGTTTTAACTTTAGCAATAAGCTGTCGAAAAAGTATCAATCCATTGGTATGTAGTTAACTATTTCTAGAAAAAAAGCACAAATTTATGGCATTTAAGGGAATCTGGTTAGAAAACTGGAACACGAGGCCTCTGGACTTGAACCGAATGTCATTTAGAAAGTTTTGGCCACAAACTGAAAGCATGCCCGGGCATGAGAATCTAATATACGGTCTGATTTTGTCAAGTAGATTTCCCATACAGTTCTTTGGCTAATAAATATTTTAGACGCCTTTGCGTGCTTTGCCAGAGACTGAGTGCCCTTTCTTCCCTTCGGCATACACAATCATCGTGGATTAGGTCCCATCCCATAACCTATTATCGCAAACTTTCCTTCGGCATACAGAGGTATCGTGAATTAAGCGCGCATCATAACGTGCTTTTAGCGGCTTGATGCCTTAATTCGTATAGATTGTTGGATCGTTGCTTATAGCCCATATAGTTTATGGTACAAGTTTGCCTTAAACCTGCGTGGATATATATAACGACTCGAGAAGGACACACACACATGTTTTTCTAAACTAAGAGAATGATTCTGAATCGATTTAAGCAATTTTAAAGACTTTTGGTATATTTTCTTCTTCTTTTTTAATATGACGCGTCACTTGAGGGATACTTCTATAAGTACGTACGGTGATGGTTAAAAAGAAATGGTGGGAAGAGAGATAGGATGTGCACATAGCCTGGAAGGTGTGAACATGTTTTGGACGGACAGTATTGAGTGTGGATTTTTAAGGGTATAAGAGAGGCGTCTTCCAATGCCGCAATTTGAAAAAGTCGTTCCGTAGTGTTATACATAAGCTTTAATTTGTTTGTTGCACAACTTTTGATACAAGGGTATGTTAAATTTGTGCGCCCGTGTGCAATACACAGAAGAGCTTGAAATCGAGCCACCTTTTGAATTTATCTGTCCATCTGTCCGGTCTTCTATTCTTATGCTGCATTTAAAGGGTCTCCAATTTTTGGGATATTTTTGGTTTATGCTTAGTCCGCTGGCTTATTTTGTCCCAAAAATTAATCCTTCCGATCCAACCACTTTTTCGACTACTTGCCATATAACGTTTTATTTTGAAATGTCATTATATGAATAATTGGAACAAGATGTTTAATGGTGGGTCGTGACCCGCTATAGTGTTTTTACTTGTTTCTAAATATGTTTGGCTAACGGTATTCAATCCGAGTATAAAATACTTTAAAGAAGATCCTCAAGCAGTTTTGCTTTTTTTTGGTCACAAGGTATTCTTCTTCTCCACCCTTCCAAAAAAAAAAAAAATATATATATTTACGTTCTTGGTAACATAAAACGACGGAATGGTATGATTACGGGATTTCATTAAAATATTGTTCCCATTTTTTTCTCTATTGGTTCACTTGTTCGAAATATGATAAAATCCTTAGAGGGAAAGCAAGCGAACAATTTTACGGTTTCTTAACTCTCCATAAGGCATTTTTGCCTTAGGCAGCGTCAACACTTTCACAGGCGAAATATTACAGGGTCTTATGTCTATTCCGTAGGGGAACTACAAGAGAACTTTACATGGACGTTTTTATTACTATCGGGAATCCTGACTAACGTTATCTCTCTATCTCTATAAGCAATGAAAATATTGCTTACATCACTTCATTTAAGATAATGGCTCAATACTTTTGCGATAAGATTTAAACTTTATTTCTGATGAATTGCGTTTTTGCTAATTTTCAACCCTCTTCAGCAATTGTGAAGTGACGGCATCACTTTGAAAACCATAAAAATCTATTGAAATGCTTTTACACATCATTGTTTAATGCTCTGCAAATCTATAAAAATCATGAAAAATCAAATCACTTCAAATGGTTTTCAAAGCTTAAATTGATAGGCAAGTAATTGCTAAGCATACTATTCTCTGCCACAATATCCCTTGACGTTACGCTTACCCTGGCCTGGCCCATCAACTATAGCTTTTGTGCGTAACGAAATTTACTTATGTTGTTTTTGTTTTTGCTTTTTTTTTTGTTTTTCGGTTTTTGTTTTTTTTTTTTTTTTTTTAATGTTCTCTATATATTTGGTTTCATTTCGTTTTGTTCGCACACAATAAATTCTAAAATAACTGAAAACTACTTACGAAGTCGTGTAGTTTAGTTTCCGCGTCTATATAGACTCATACACATCTGTACATAAATTTAAAAACTTTCATATATACAAATGCATGTGAATATATACATCCTGCGTGTAGTTTAAACAAAAAAAAAAAAAAAAAAAAATTCAGAATGAATCTTTGTTGTTGTTGTTGTTGTTATTGTACGATACTCTACTCTACTCTAGAGGAATATACTATATATAGTATACTCGCACAACTACATACATGCGAAAATGCGAATTAAAAGAAATCACAGAATTGCTCATTTACGCAAATATACAGACACACGGATGTACGTAAAATGCATGAGGCAGGCAACGATAGGAATACAATAACATCATCGTCATCATCGCGTCATTCAATTCCCGTTTTTCTCTTCCTTGTATGCTTGTTTTTCCTGCAGTTGGCGTGTGTTCTTGTAACACACCACTCAACTATTTAGTCCGACATCATTCAAAAACATGCATGACGAGTGTTTTTGAGTGTGACGTCATACACTATACTAACAATCAACACAAACTGACAGACAGACAGACACACACACACACACACACACACACACACACACACACACACACACA